TGGCTGAGGCCTTTGTTGATCAGTATTCTTACAATACCCAGGTTGAAATGACCGTGCAAGAGCTTGAAACAACCCGCCAGAACCCAATAGAGCCTTTTGTGGAATTTGTTGCAAGGTGGAGGGCAAAGGCAGCGCAGATGAAAAATCGCCCTTCTGCCAATCTTTGATCGGGCGAGCGGGGGTGCTCACGAAGTGACCTTCCCCAATCGTACCCAAGTTCCCGAGCCGAGGCAACTTTGGTGATGACGGACACGTGGCCTTAGGCAAACGAGTCAGGGTTTCCTAAATTTCCCCAAAATAAAACATTTAGGTGGCGACTCTGTATCTAGCAAAGCAGTCCATGTTTGGAACTTCTTTCAAAAAAATATGTTTTCTCAAAACGATTTGTCGGATTTGGACTCTTTGGTTCAGATTAAGAACCGTAACAATTTGAGAGTCCTGAACTGTAGTGAGCCCAATATGAACAGAACGGGACTCATCCTCCCGGGGTGTTTGGGGACGTCTACAAGAGGTCTCGTAGACCATCTCTCAGTGGCCGTAGGCTACGTTTCGCGGCCGTAGGCCAGTTTTTCCGTTTGGAGCCTGGTTTCCGATTTTCGGAGCTGTCGGCCGTGTGCCTCGGTTCGGGACCGCCTAACCGCCTCCGTTTGCCCCGATTTTTGGCACACACCTTATTTACTCCCTTTTGAGGGACACTGGGGTCCGAGAGACCAACTTCGTGGTCGAACACCACCTCCGGTGCTTAAACAGCCCATTTTCGGGGCTCCGGGCCGCGCGTTTAGGTCCCCGAACCTCCGTTTTGCATCTGTTTTGGTTCATTTTTGGTGGAGACCTTATTTTCATAGTTAGGAAGCTTGTAGGAGGGTGGGAGGCCAGCAATTGTTCTGAAAAGCCAAATTTATTTCTTCATCGCTCTCCGACGCCCGTTTTCCTCATTTGAAAGCCAATGTTGACCACCCCGGGGCCACTTTCTTGAACCCTAAACCCCATATTTGTGTTGTACACACCTGGGAGGCCACCAATATTTGGTGGCCGACCAGTAATTGTGCCTGAGCCTTTTGACCCCCTCTAAAAAATGGTCTTTTCTCTCTCCTAGTTCACTTTTTCTGGGTTTCAACCACATATTTTGTTGTGCACACATGGGAGACCACCTTTTTGAGGTGGCCGACCAGTAATTGTGCTTGACCTTTTTGACCCTTGGTCGGCTGGCCATAGGAGGTGGTCGGGCGGCCCCCTGAACCTTCTGAACCTGGCCGGCCATGACCCTCTCACCTGGTTACTTACAGCTGCACCCTCTGTTTCCCCCCAGATTCTGTACCCGATGGGGGGTCTTTTGGGGGAAAAATTTGAATTTGATTTTCCCCCCCTTTCCTCCATTCCTTTACCTATATAACCAGCTCCCCCAGCTGTAATTTAGAAGGTTACAAAAATTGATTTTGAGCTTTTGCATTCAATCTCTCTCTCTCTCTCTCTCTCTCTATTCCAACCCTCAAAACACCCTTAGTCCTACACCATTTACCCTACACCTCATAGCACAAGGCCTCTAACCCTCATTCCAGCAACTTGAGGCTGCTTTCTAGAGGTGAAGAGCTCCCAAAATTGGTCCAAGAGCTGCTGGTCCATTGGTCTACAAGTGTGAGTCCCATTTTTCCTCTTTCTTGCCTTATCTCGCTTTGTATCTAAGCCATACTTTCTAGCATTTTTGGGCTCCGACCCAAACTATAAATAGTCATATTTTGTGCTCATATCCACGTTTGATTAAGGGTCTTTCTCTGTTTGAGGTCCCCTCCTTACCCTTTGTGTTTAAACCCTCTTTTAGGCCAATTTTTACATAGTATTTTAGGCCTATTTTTAAGCTGTTTTGGACTTTTTCATAAACTGTAAAATAACTTTTTTTGAGACCCTTTTCAACATTTTTGAAAGGATCTCCTCTGTTTGAGGCCAGCAGCTGTCACTTGCCTCTTTACCTCTCTTTTAGGCCTATTTTTGCATAGTATTTTAGGCCTATTTGTGAGCTGTTTTGGACTTTTCCATAAACTGAGAAATATCTTGTTTTGAGCCCCTATTCAACTTTGTTGAAGGGCTCTCCTCTGTTTGAGGCCAGAAGCCATCACTTGCTTCTTTATCCCTCATTTAGGCCTTTTTCTTGCATGATAGTTTGGACTTATTTGTGATTATTTTCGTGGCATGATGTAAACTGTAAAGTGCCTTTTTTTGAGACCCTCTTCAACTTTGTTGAAGGGATATTTTCCATTTGATGCTAGCTGTTGTCCCTTTGTGTTTAATCTCTCTTTTAGGGCCATTTTTGCAGGATCGATTAGCCCTATTTGTGTTCATTTTTTAGGCTTGTTATAAACTGAAAATATGCATGTTTTGGGACTGTCTTGCATCTTTCTTCATGCTTCATGATCAAATAATGCATGCCTTGTATAGCTGTAAGTCATTCCATGTGCCTAGTTTCGAGTTTCGGGGTTCATTCCATGCATCGGGTGCCATGTTTCCATGTTTCGGGGCTGTTTTGTATCACATTTCAGCGCTGAAATTTTCATATTTTCATACCATATTCCATGCTTTGCCATGCTTTGGTAGAGTGGCATTTGTTGCCTTAGGTTCGGTCCTCGGTTTGCGTGCATGCGTGCACGTATTTCGAAAGTCTCATTTTTCATCTAATGGCTACTGATGTGAGTGTGGCTGAGGTCCACTCATGTTGGTGTAAGTCTATTGTGCATTGTGTATGCCATTTCATTCCATAGCATTGTGTATGCTAGGTTGTATGTTAGCGCATTGTGTATGCCATGTTACCTCGTGTATCGTGTATGCCATTTCATAGCATTGTGTATGCTAGGTTGCATGTTAGAATTGCATCCATGCATGTCATGCATATTGCATTGTGTTTGGGATAGGATTTAGCCCGAGCACGGGAAACGAGAGACGTTTCATACTTCGAGTGACAGAACGTGTCTCAATTCCCAATCACCGACACTTCGGATTATCCATAATGGAGTTTAGGTCTTGTTGTGTTTATATGTCCATTCATTTCATATTGAGTTGTGCAATTTGACTCCTCGGCCATCATGCATCGATATGCGTGATTGGTGGCACGAGGATCGAGGACTACGCTCCCTGAAGAGTAGTCATGCATACATATGTGAAAATACTTTGCCATGCCCCTTTGTTGCTCTCTGTTGTAGCAAATCAGAAATCGGCAGCCTTCCGGAGCTTGACACGCATTCCAAGAACAATTACAAACAGAGGCAAGCCGGGGCATCGCGAGGGATTCTCCGCACAAGGCAACCCGAGCATGCATCATTCATCATCCGGAGCAGATTTGAGGCAGTCCTTGGCGTACACGCCAATTTATTGCTTTCTTAATTTAATTTGTTAATTAATTAGGGTTTTGTACAAATTAGGGTTTTGTACATATTTGGACTGTAATTATTAATTTGGGACTGTATATTATTTATTCGGACCCTCTGCGCGAGGGCAATGTTGTAATAAGTGTGCGTGTGTGTGATGTATGTCTTCCAACTCCACGTCTTTCTCTCTTTTATTTACCAGCTTATGATGGTTAGATTAGGGCATGTTTCAATTAGCATACAGTATGACAGCATGTTTGCATTCATTCATCTGTTTAGCATGCACCGGGCTCGGCGCATCATACTATCTGCATTGTATTTTCAATTCCAAGTTTAATACATGTTAGCTGCAGCATTTCATATGTCATGTTTAGAATAGCCGAGCCTGCTATAGTTGCATTTTTGCATGTGTTGCATTAGACATTTCTGTATAATTAGGATCATGCATGGATTTCTAATTAGCTTCTGTTTTGGCTTGGTGTACTCGGTAAGTTTTTGTCCTTTAGCATCCTTGCATGCGTGTTAGTGACTGCCATGATAGCATGCTTACCATGAGGCTATGTGCTTATGTGATATAACTGCCTGAATGCCTGTGGGTGAAGGTTGGGTTATTTGGATTGGAACAATTCATTCACTGTGAGATTTAAGCCCACTAGATAGTGGCAAAATCATATTTTCTAAAGCCCACCCGAGGGTGGCAAATCTACATCTTAGCCTACTTGCGGGTAGCACCATCAAATCACTTTCAAAAAATAAACATGAAATGTTTTGTTCAAATTCAGACGATCCAGTATATACTTGTATGCTGTGCGCATCACATAGTAAATCTAGGCTAATAACCGGAATAAGAATGCATAATGTTTTCAAAATTAGATATCATGGTTAGTAGAGGCCGATCTTTGATCGGGCGAGCGGGGGTGCTCACGAAGTGACATTCCCAATCGTACCCAAGTTCCCGAGCCGAGGCAACTTTGGTGATGACAGACACGTGGCCTTAGGCAAACGAGTCAGGGTTTCCTAAATTTTTCCAAAATAAAATATTTAGGTGGCGACTCTGTATCTGGCAAAGCAGTCCATGTTTGGCACTTCTTTCAAAATCTATTTTCTCAAAACGATTTGCCGAATCTGGACTCTTTGGTTCAGATTTAGAACCGTGACAATTAGAGAGTCCTGAACTGTGGTGACCCCAATATGAACAGAACGGGGGACGGGACCTCATTCCTCCCGGGACATTCGGGGACATCTACAATAATACAGACCTTATACATAGGAAAGGTGGAGTTCCTATATTGCTAAAAAAAGTACACTGGTAGTTTGATATAAAAAATTTACTATCCTGGAAATCATCAGAAATCATGGTGATGTGTGATCTATTCTGCCTGAGTCATTCTTTTATTAGTTTTTTTTAATTCTTCCCATTCTTGGAGGACCATTTTTTTCTTTGTAATTAAAAAAATATATATGTAACACACTGGTATCTATCTTCATTCCAGACTTCCTTTCCATGAGTTGAGGCAAGTTCAATTATGGTAGACATACTAGGTTATGTGAGAGCCTGCTTGCAAACTGGGAAACTTGTTTTCTTGGCAATTTTGGTCGCTGGAGGAATTGTCTTGCAAGTTTTGGTTAGTTGCATTCTTTCATGTTCATTGCTCTGGGTTCACTATTTGCAATTATGTTGCACATCCCTTCTAACAAAATCATTATTAGTTGCTTACTTCTACTTTTGTAATGCCACAGGCTTGTGCTTTGTACAATAATTGGTGGCCAATGCTAACAGGTAGGCAGATGCAAGATTTCCTTATTTTCTTGGGTTTTTTTATATGGCTATATTAGGTATATCTATGAATTGGATTATCAATTTTTTGGTTTGGATTCAAATTTGGGATTTTGACTATTTTGGCGTAAATTCCTAAAGTATAAAAGAGTTTAATTTTTTTTGTTTGAAGATTATTGTGAATTGTTTTACAAATTGTATGGTTTGGACATGAACTCATCAAAAATAGTTTATGCACTTGTCATTTTGTAGTTGGTTTGATCTTGTTAAAAAACAGTTAATTTCTCTGTTGGCCCTTTACTTGGAGTGTGAGTTCATTGAAATAGGATGTTGATTAATTATGGTATGAAGCTTGAAATCAAACCAACTTAAATATTCTGAACTAATGGACAGCAGACTTGTGGCATGTTTATGTATTGCAGTTTGATTTTAGTGATTAAGAGCATTGGGGTTTGAATGGCTTTCCTTTTGAAATTTTGAAACTCAACTTTCAAAATTTTGATTAAATTTTAGTTTCTGTTTTACATGCCTTTTGTTTATCTGTATGCAGGATCATCATGAGAAAGCATTAAAAATCACAATTTACTTTGGTATTAATGGACAGATTAGGTCCTCGATGGATTAGGCCCCGTCCACCAAGGCTCCCAATATTACCATCGATGGAGAGATAATACACGTATTAAGGGATCCTTATTCAATTAATTTGTGGAATGTATTCATTTTAAAAACTTATCCATGTCAAGTTTCTTCCAGCTCGTGTGGCTCAACTTTGGTAATAATCATGAGCTTTTATGGGATTATGGAATGTGTGCTGATACTAGCAGAGGGGCTGCAGTTAGATTACTAGCAGAGGGGCTGAATCTTCTAGTATGGCTTACCTCTCTCTCTCTCTCTCTCTCTCTCTCTCTCTCTCTCTCTGTATTTAAGCTAACTAAAATTATTTATACTATTCACAGTCATTGTGGAAGCAATCAGCTCTATGGCTTACCTCTCTCTCTCTGAGGTGTTTGGAGTCTTACGATAGATTTTAATGGTTGCAGGATTACAGAGAGCACAACGATGACACCACTATACACTTTGAAGTTATTATGCCCGAGGAGAACTTGATCATGGCAAAGCAAGAGGGCTTGCTAAAGAAATTTAAACTCACCACAACTATTAGCACAAGCAACATGCATCTGTTCGACCCAAAATGCGTGATTAAGAAATATGAAACCCCTGAATAGTGTCAATCTTGAATGTGTGTTCTATCATAATGATGTTGAAACCGTAGAGCATATTCTTCTTGCATGTCCTTTTGTTTGGAGGCTTTGGTCAAACATTGTGCGATGGTGGGGTTTTCAATGGGTCATGCCAGGTTCTGTAGATGGATTGCTGCAGTGGTGGTATGGGTGTAGTATGTCAAAATTGGAGAAGAAAATCCGGATGGTCATTCCTATGACAGCTCTTTGGTCTATCTGGAGGCATAGAAACGAGTGTGTTTTCAATGGACTACAACCAGATTTTGAAGCTCTATGCGACATTGTGAAAGTTCGAGTAGCTTTGTGGACTAAGGCATCGCCACTACAGGTGGCAGCTTCTGTAAATGATCTGGTGTACAACTTGCAGCAGGTCAAGTTCTGCCTAAGGAGTGGTGGTTGAGTGTGTATCTGTTATGGGTGTTTTGTTCTGCATCAGAAAAAGCTACTGTCTGCTCTGGTGTCTTAGCTGCAGTGTATTAGTTGTTTGCTCTGCTGTCTGCTCTGTTATGCTTGTTGCTGCTTTGTTGACTGGTTCAGCTATGAGCAGAATGGTATGGTGGATGCAAATATGGTATGGGCTACTGGCTTTCTACTTCTGGTTTTCTACTAGTTGAGTTTGAGGCTACATAGACTTGGTGGATGCATAGATGGTATGAGGCTACTTCTGAGTTTGAGGCTACTAAGTGGTTTTCTACTGGTTTTATGACTCAGCTGCTAGCATCTATTGTGCTGTTGTGATGGATTTGGGTGTCTTGATTATGTCTGCTGTGATGATGTCTGGTATGGGTTATGGGCTATGCTGTGCTGCTGTGATGATGACTCAGATATGGGATTGTTGGGATTGTTCTGTTTTGCCAAGAGATTGTTCCAGCTTGGAGGTCTGTTGGTGTTGCATGGCATTGGAGGTCGGATTTGCTTGGGCTACTAATTTGTTTGCTGTGAAGATATGGAGTGTGGCATTGAGTTTATCTGTGGGTATGCTATTGTGCATGGAGTGTGGCGACTTAGCAGCTGTTGGTAATCCAGCAGTAAGGGTATTAGAGAGATTGGAATAGAGAAATTGTGTATCTGCTGCTGAGTTCTGTGGTCAACTTATATCAGTCCAGCCAAATTTGGTATCAGTCCAGCCTTTCTTCATTTTCTGCTGAGTTCTGTTGTTTACAGGTGTTTAAAGCTCAAAGGTGCAGCTTGGCTATGCTAGCATATTGAGCTCCAGGATTCTTTCATTGATTAGAATTTTTTAATTTTAGAATTTTTAGAATTTTAGCAAAGGTGCAGCATGGCTATGCTAGTTTAGAATTTTTTTTGGATTCTTTCATTGATTTTCCTTTTAATTTTTGTTCAATTACTTATTGGTTTTCAATGGATGGATGTTTAAAACTTGTCTCAATTAATGTTTTGAATGGAATGATTGTAAAGTTTGGGATTGAGCAGGAAAATATGATGAATTTTAATGTTATATTTGGGTTGGGTTGAATGAATTTTGTTCAATATTAGATTGAATGTTTATAAACAAAAATTGATTGTTAAAAAAAAAAAAAGAGAGATTGTAGACGTCCCCCGAACGCCCCGAGGGAGGAACGAGTCCCCCGTTCCGTTTGATATTGGGCTCACTACAGTTCAGGACTCTCAAATTGTCACGGTTCTTAATCTGAACCAAAGAGTCCAAATCCGGCAAATCGTTTTGAGAAAACAGATTTTGAAAGAAGTGCCAAACATGGACTGCTTTGCCAGATACAGAGTCGCCACCTAAATATTTTATTTTGGAAAAATTTAGGAAACCCTGACTCGTTTGCCTAAGGCCACGTGTCCGTCATCACCAAAGTTGCCTCGGCTCGGGAAATTGGGTACGATTGGGGAAGGTCACTTCGTGAGCACCCCCGCTCGCCCGATCAAAGATCGGCCTCTGAAGCAAGTGATAGCAGGAGGCCTCAAACAGAGGAGATCCCTTCAATAAACATGAAAAGGGTCTCAAAAAAAGTTATTTTACAGTTTATGTGAAAGTCCAAAGCAGCTCACAAATAGGCCTAAGATACTATGCAAAAATTGGCCTAAAAGAGAGTTTGAGAAGAAAGAGGCAGTAGCTGGCCTTAAAAAGTGAGGATCCCTTCTACAAAGTTGAAGAGGGGCTCAAAATAAGGCACTTTCTAGTTTGGCTTGAAGGCCTTCACCCACAGGCATTCAGGCAGTTATATCACATAAGCATATAGCCTCATGGTAAGCATGCTATTCATGGCAGTCACTCACACGCATGCAAGGATGCTAAAGCATAAAACTTACCGAGTACTCCAAGCCAAAACAGAAGCTAATTAGAAATCCATGCATGATCCTAATTATACAGAAATGCCTAATACAACACATGCAAAAGTGCAACTATAGCAGGCTCGGCTATTCTAAACATGGCGTATGGAATGCTACAATTATCATGTATTCAACTTGGAATTGAAAATACAATGCAGTTAGTATGATGCGCCGAGCCCGGTGCATGCAAAACAGATGAATGAATGCAAACATGCTATCATACTGTATGCTAATTGAAACATGCCCTAATCTAACCATCATAAGCGGGTAAATAAAAGGGAGAAAGACGTGGGGTTGGAAGACATACATCACACACACACAGACTTATTACAACATTGCCCTCGCGCAGAGGGTCCGAATAAAATAATATACAGTCCCAAATAAATAGTACAGTCCAAATAAATAATACAGTCCAAATATGTACAGAATTCAAATTAAATAAAAAATTTAACTAGGAAAGCGGTAAACTAGCATGCAAGCTAGGGACTGCCTCGACTCTGTTCCGAATGATGGATGATGCATGCTCGGGTTGCTTGGCACGGAAATCCACTGTGATGCCCCAATTAGCCTCTGTTTGCGATTGATGCCGGAATGCTGTGCAAGGCCTTTGAAAGGCTACTGATTCTTGATTTGCCTTGAAGACCAATGCTTCAACAATTGTTGGACCAAGTTTGGGAGCCCTTGACCTCTGGAAATGGCCTTGAAGCTGCTGGAATGGAGTGTGGATTGGTTGGCTTGGAGATGGTGTAGAAATGGTGTAGGACTTGAGGGTTTTGATGGTTGGAATATAGAGAGAGAGATTGAATGCAAGAGGCTTAAACCAAACCTTCTAACCTTTTGAAATGCAGCTGGAGGTGCTGTTATATAGAGGGAGGAATGGAGGAAAAGGGGGGAAAAATGGGGAGGAAAGGAATTCAAACTTCCCCCCAAAAGTGCAGCCCCCCGGATACACAATCTGGGGGGAAACAAAATACAGATTTGTATTGTACCAGAGGAGAGTATCATGGCCGGCCTGGTATTTAAGTTGCAGGTGGCCGACCGGCCCTCCCCATGGCTGGCTGGCCAAGGGTCAAAAGGCTCAAGAAGTTTTAGTGGCCGGCCACCCCAGATTGGTGGCCTCCCATGTGTGCACAACACAACCATGTGGTCAAAAACTGGAGAAAGTGAACCAGGAGAGAGAAAAGGCCACTTTTAAGAGGGGTTCAAAAGGGTCACACACAATTACTGGCCGGCCATATGATATTGGTGGCCTCCCAGGTGTGTACAACACAAATATGTGGTTTGGGGCAAGAAAAAGTGGCCTTAGGGTGGTCAACATTGGCCTTCAAGTGGGAAAAACGGGCGATGGAGGAATAAAATTGGTTGTCAGAACAATTACTGGCCTCCCACCCTTCTACAACCTTTCTAACAATGAAACAGAGGTCCCTGCCAAAAATGAACTCAAGCCGATGCAAAAAGGAAGTTCGGGGGCCGAAATGCGCAGCCCGAGACCCCGAAAACTGACTGTTAGGCACCGGAAGTGGTGTTCGACCACGAAGTTAGTTTTTTGAGCCATAGTGTCCCTCAACAGGGAGCAAATAAGATGCATGCCAAAAATCGGAGCAAACGGAGGTGGTTAAGCGGTCCCGAACCAAGGCACATGGCCAACGGCTCTGAAAAACCGGAAACCAGACTCCAAACGGGCAAAATGGCCTACGACCACGAAACGTAGCCTACGGCCACTGAGAGATGATCTACGAGACCTCTCCCTCACTTTGGGAAGAGAAAACTGAGAAAACAGAGCCTGGTTCGCAAACCGAGGCAAAGCATGAAAGAGTCCAGAAGTCCGGAGGCAAGGCTCGCAGCCAAGAATCTTAAACCTCTGAACGAGCACGATATGCAACATCACCAAGCGCTCAATCGGTGACGTCTGAGTCTTAAGGTCGGTCAAAAATGGGGTGTCTACATTGCCCCCTTTTTTACAGAATCGAAAGTCACATGTGACGGAGAGTGAAGATCAAAGCCCAGAGACAACCCATTTTCTGACAGGGCCGAAGACTTAGGACAAACAGGCAAGACAAACAGAGATGCTGCCGCAGGCATGCCCGCAGCAGGGACAAAATGGCAACTGACAATGCAAAAAGCCGAAGGTTAGCTCATGATCATGCAAATGCAACAAGCTTGTATATGAGGCAAGTTATTCGCAAATAGATGCAACATTTTTTAAGTAAAGAATGCAAAGCAATAACTACATTTCATGCATAGTTAGGAATGCAGAGAATTATTCAATTTCTCGTCGCGTCTCACACGGAGAAAAATACAATACTGCGCAGTTCGT